CACACACACACACACACACACACACACACGCACACACACATACAAACAATAACTTTAATGTAATAGACACCTGCATCCATTGGATGTTGTGTTTGGAATAACCTGCTTCGTTTGAAGGTGGTAAAACAAATTGCTTGCATTTATTCCTTTCTACACACTTTGCAGATTACTTTTTCTGCACTCCGTGTTTACTCTGTGCACGCTCCAGCGGGGGGACAATCATCCCGTTTATGCTTTACAGGTTTTTTTTTTTGAAAGACAGTCAGACTGTCACCCTTTGCCACAGAACTTCCCCGCTGTACGACTTGAAACAGCATGGCGCTATGACTGCAGGAGAAATGAGGTCCATTAGACTCCGCGAGCTTTTGTGCGTCCCAATGGAGCTCTCACTGACTTCACCTGCGCTGACAGTCRCCTCGCTGCGTGACCGTGACATGTGCCGCGCTCCTCCCGCTGCAGGCAGTGTGGTCGCTCGGCAGCCGACCGGACGATGCGCCGTCACGTAAATATGTAAACAGTTCGGGGTTCATTTTCGCCCACCCGAACCAGGTCCAGATAATAGTTTTTTTTTTGTTTGTTTTTTGCTCTTCCTTTGTGCTCTCAGCCATGCTGCTTCCCGCTTCCTCTGTTTTGACTCCAGCCGGTTACGTCATCAAAAAGAATTACTGCGGTTGGCTGGTAGACTACAGATCTCTACCATAGGCCAAATTTATATAGTTTCTATCGTATATCGTTTATATCACGCATTCCTGCCTGTGAGTCATCTTATCGCTGTCCCAATCCAGGCCTAGGTTTGTGTTTGTATGCACGCTCTCATATTTTATGATGGGATCTTTAATAACTGCCAAATCTAATTTTGGCTGATTGTTTGCTCACAGGTAATTATCCCATCCAATCCAGGTGGATATGAGTGTATACATCTCTTTCTCTCACGCTCCTTCCCATGCACACACACACAGAAAGCGAGATATTGCAGTCACAGACTCACACAGACACGGTTTGATTCGAGCAATGAGACCAGCCAGCCAGGGGGGAAACAAGCAGAGCGTATCAAATTCCCAGACGCTTCTCCTAACGCCACAAGCATGCACACAGGTTACATGATACGTTTCAACATGTCGTCAGTTAGAGACGCTGTGTCTCTACACATCAGGCCTTACTTGCTTCTTTCAATCTTAAAGTTTAAGACAGGGATCAGCTTTTCGGTCATCCATCTTGACCTTTTACCCTCAAACTAACACAGAAGGACGGTTTAAATGTTGTTCTATCAAAAGGTCTCAAACCTCCAATGTCCAACCTGCCTTTTTAATTCCTTGTGGAAGGAGTAACCCACAGTTTGGGTTTGATCAGTGTATTTTTTTTATTTTTATGTTTGAGTTTGTGTACAATTTCTTTGAAGATAAAAAAGTCAGCCATAAGTTAAAACAGGAATCTGTAAAGCTTTATTCATTCACCAAACCACAATTTATAAACCTCTTATAAAGACTGCCTTTGTGCCATGTTGAGCTTAAAAAAAACTGTAGATGAACTGAAGAAGATGCTGAATAATATATTTTATTTATTTATCTATCATTATTTAGCCAGGCAAATAACACTGAGATCACAGATCTCTTTTTCAAGGGAGGCCTGGGCCTGAAGGCAACCTATTGTACATGTTTTTTGTGTTGTGGGGGAAACCGGAGTACTCGGAGAAAACTCATGCAAACACAAGGAGAACATGCAAACTCCACACTGGTCCGAACCGGGGATTGAACCCAGGACCTTCTTGCTGTGAGGCATCAGTGCTAACCACTGAAACGTTGTGCATAAAATTATATGCTGTAAATATCAATACGAAGGAAGCTCCTAGGGATCCCAAAGTGCTCCCAGGTCAGGGAGATAGTTCTGGGTCTGTCCCAGTGTCTCTTTCCAGTGGGACATGGCAGAAAAACTTCCAAAGTGAGGCGTCTTGGAGGCAAACTAATCAGATATCTGAACTACCWTAACTGACTCATTTCTGTGCCAAGGAGCAGTGGTTGTACTCCACTCCTCCTCTTATGATCCGTACCTCCAGACCATAAATAAAGGTTGGAACATGGATCAGTAAATTGAGAGCTTTGGCTTTTGATTCAACTCTTTCTTCACCATGACAGACCAAAGCAGTGCTGGGGCTGCAGCAGGCATGATGAGCTCAGCTGGGACTGCAGCAGACGAGAGCTCACTGGGAACGGGGACTGCAGCTGGCAATAGTACCTCCACTAATGCTGCAGCGAGTAGGGTGACCACCACGGTGGCTGCAGTAAAGGTGGTGATTAACACCTCCCTCTCCCCATGCGCACCCACACAGCCCATGGTGAAGGCATCGACCCTCTCTGGAGCGCAGGAGGCATCAACCCTCTCTGGAGCGTAGGAGGCAGAGGCGTCGACCCTCTCTGGAGCGCAGGAGGCGGAGGCGTCGACCCTCTCTGGAGCGCAGSAGGCGGAGGCGTCGACCCTCTCTGGARYGCAGGAGGCGGAGGCGYCGACCCTCTCTGGAGCGCAGCAGGCGGAGGCGTCGACCCTCTCTGGAGCGCAGGTGGCAGAGGCGTTGACCCTCTCTGGAGCGCAGGAGGCGGAGGCATCGACCCTTTGTGGCGGAGCCGGAGGGTGAAGAACCTGGGACCCTCTCGGAGCTGAAGTGCAGGAAATCATAGATTCAGCAGAGCAGGAAACCATCGACTCGGTGGAGCTGGAACCATTCAGCCCGGGAGTGACCGCCGCTCTTCTCCAACGAGGGCGATGAAGAGAAGAAGGAGAGGGTGGAGATGGAAGTGTGGATCTGAAAGCCAGGCGAGTCCCCTGGAACTGCGTCTGCCTCTGCTCCTCTTCTTCCACCAAAAGAGGGGATGGGAGAACCTCAACCCTGGGACCACGGCGTCCATGTCTCTGGGTGGGCTGAAAGACTGTGGTCTGAAACCCTCCTCACWGGATGACGGGTGGTGGCAGCTGAGCCTCTCTCCTCTCTCTTTTCCCCCTCTCTCTGCTTGGTTTTGGCTGCCTCACAAGCCAAAAACTCGAACAGAGTGATCTGCCTGCTGGGTTCTGTTGTTGGTCCGGCCACTGTGTTACGGCTTGATGGTGAGGAGAACCCAAAATGCAGGCAGGCTGGCAGACCAAACTTAAAGTAAATAAAAAGACTTTAATAAAGAAAAAAGCCAATGTGGTGGCAAGCTAACAAAACAAAAAAATCAAACTTGCAGCATGAGCATGGGCATGAAGTGAAAACAAACATGGGTAAGCAATGGTCGGACGCTGAAGTGATGAAGAGAATATCCTTAAATACAAGTGGAAGAGAGTGGAAGTAGGAAACAGCTGGGTGGTTACAATTGAGGACAGGTGAGTGTGGCAGGCTGGAAAAATACTAAGAAGCTGACTGAGGTAAACATGGCACAGGAAACTAAAAACAAGAAATGAGAAAATAAGACAATACCAAACAATGAAAAACCAATCTGAAAAATATTACCAAAAATAACCAAAACACAAGAATCAGAACAGGATGAGGCCTCAATTTGTCAATCCATGTTCTTCACCATCCTACTATCAGGCGTGAACAAGAATCCAGATACTTGACTCATTCACCACTCAGAATGTGTAAGGGTTCAGTCTTACACTTCTTATAACAAGGTTATATGAGTAATTTAATTTGCAAGTGATCTCTTTTATTTTGGGTAAATATTCCTCCAGTGCAAAAATGAATGGACACAAGAAGTGACTCTCAGTCAGTGAATGTTGAGTTGAACATAAATTTTGCGATCGTTTATTTTACAAATCATGCAGAATCACTAGAGTACACTTGATTTTGAAAAATTAATTTCCTATAAAAAGTTTTGGGACCAACAATAACAAGCTTTTAACTTCTTAATTGTTAACCACACTTAAATAGGGACTTAAATAGAGACTGAGTTCGACTTTGGATGAATGCAGATTACTTTGAATACAAGGACCAGACAGGCCTTAAGAGCAACCCTGGCAGCCCGTAACCCCACAGCACCTCTCACAGAATGCTTTAGGGAACACAATCATAGTTTTTCTCCAAATCTACAAAACACGTGTAGACTGGAGAGTCAAACTCCCATGATCCTCTTCACATCCCTGCAAGGGTGAAGATCTGGTCCACTGTTCCATGACCAGAAAAAAAGGCCACACAGCTCCTTTCAAATTCAAGGCTTGACAAGTGGTTGGCACCTCACTTCTTTCAAATGACTTTTGTTGCATTGTATCATGTTACATAAATTACACTTGTTTTCCAAAAAGTCATAACATGATAAAATCAGCATTTGTTACACACTGTCTGTCAACAGATCTGCTTATTTTCAAGGCCAGTGAGGTTAGCAGCTCTAACTTGTGGGACTCGTAAAGTTTAGCATCTGTATCACTTTTTGGCACTGGTGTTAACTGATTTTTTTATTTAATTTTATTTCTTGAAGTGACTGATTGTTTTTGAAACTGCACCTGCAGCGGCGTTGTGTCTGGAAAAGAGGTCAGTGTGAGACTTTTTGGAGGGGGATTTGGGGTTGTGGAAATAAAGAAAAATGATTCAAACTCAGCTCATAAAGTGAGCATGACACATGTGTTCATCTCTTCTCCCTTTGCTTACTTTCTTGAAACATTTCCAGCTCATCTGTGTTTGAACTTGTTTTGGACGTGACATTTAAAAAAATCAGGTTTAAATGTACTCCGAACATTACTGTCTTTCTCCGCCTTGCTTTCATCTGCCCTGCACTTTTTATAGACACAAACACACACATGCACATTCAAACACTTATGTTTTATCCACTCACGCACACACATTGTCTGACAGGTGACATTTTTAGTTTGGTCTGGTTCGTAGGGAAGGGTGTGCTATTATAAAGTTACCATTCGAGTTCTTTTACTACTCTTAGACACACACACACACACACACACACACACACA